ATATTAGATGATAAAGAACAACTATAAAAAAACCAATTATGATTTTATTATTCTAAATATGGATATAAGTTGTACCGTCTCATATGATTGGTAATTTTTTCAAAAGATGGGGGTTTTCTTAGCTAATAACAAGAAAATCTATTATATTCTAATATAAAGATAGAATTCACGCAAGGATAGAATAATCAAAAGAGTTTATCGGAGATAAACTATGGAGAATATGTCAATGTTTTTGAGGCAATTTAGACGTCGGTTTTAGATATAAAAAACTTATAAAAACGTTAAATAACATTATATAATGAACGATTAACCTTTTTATATATATTTTTTTCTCCAATATGTTTAACTAATACATGTTTGAGTCTTAATAGTTAATGTGGTACCAAAATCTTTTTTGGTCCTATTAAATACTATTTTTTTATGTCTCTTTTATTTACTAATTTTATTGAAATATTATTATATATACTAAAAAAAATTGGCTCCTAATTTTTATGGGCCCTGAGCGTATACCCAGCCCGCCCTCCCAATGAACGACTCTACCCCTTTTCATTTTATACTTTTACTACATTAATCTAAAATTTTGTATATTAGAAACGATACACATATTAATTTAAAACTAGAAGGGTACTCACGCAATGCAGCAAGATACATCTTGATTTTAATATTTTATTTTATTATTTATCTCAGTCGATGTTGTAATATGGTCTTACGTGATTTTTAAAAAACGATGATGTTTTTATTTTTGAATAAAATATAAATTTAAAGATATCATAAAAAATTTACAAAAATTATCGATATTAGTATCAAATTAACTATTTAAAATTCCTATTTTTTATGTAATTTTTTAATTCAATATTTTTATTGTAATTTAATTTAGGTTCAATAATGGTAATTTATATTTGGATTAATAATATAATTTTTTTATAAAGATAATAATTAATTATTTTGTTAGAACTCGATAATTATAATTATATTTTAGATTTTTTGTATTTTAAAATGAGATGTTTATCCTCTATTTGATTATGTTTATCCACAGTTAGTTACACGAATTCAAACATGGAGTTTTAATAAGTTGTACTTATGCATAATTTTCTTAAATTTTAAGTAATATGCATCAATATACAATATTTCATGCATAAAAAATGGTTTTTAAGAGTTTTTGTCAAATGTTTTATAATATAGTATATATATATATATATACTATATATATATAACACTGAACTTGTTTTAAAGATGTTGATGAAAATTTTCTAATAATTATCTTGTAAATGTATTTTAGTTAAAAATATTATTTATTAATTAAATGTACTTTTAGTTAAAACATTATTAATTAATTTAATTTAATAAAAGTTAAAAATGAAAAAGGTAAAAAAATGATGAAAATACAAATATCGAAAGAGCGAAGACAATAACAAAAAAGTCGCTAAATTTTTATAAATTTTAAAAGTTTTATTTTTTTATTAAATCAAATAAAGGGTTACAAAAGACAAGACAAAATAACTTAAGGCTTTTAGACTATATTCCACTACCTAATTAGAACATAAAATGTCGTTATCATGCATATTAATTGGTCAAATGCAATATTGTATTTATTATTTAATTAAATAACTGTTTGTAGTTTTTGAACCTTTTGTCATCATCAAGCTTGTGTTTCGATATATTAGAAAATACAATAAAAACCAATCAAAAATTGAAAAAGAATCTTTCAAATCAACCAAAAACCTGAAAAAATCTCTTGAAATCGATCAACTAACAAAGTTATTTGAAATCAACCAAAACAGTCCACTGACATCAACCCAAAAGCTAAAAAAATTTATCGAAACGGTGGAATTCAGCTAAAATGCTTCTCACGAAATGGAGCTGTTCTCACTTGATCTCGACTCTCTCTAGATTCTTGATAGAAGTATTTAATTTTCAGAAATTAGATTAAAGGACTTAAGGGACGTTTACCTAAACACTTACCCGGTAAACGCTTAACGGTAAAATTCAACGTTATCGCTTACTTACCTGGTAAGATTTTAGTCTACCAAAACGACATCGTATGTAACAACTTACCCAGTAAGCGCTAACTGTGGTAAGAGTTGTCGCTATCATTTACCGGGTAAGACGCTCGGTCATTGTCGTCGCTCTTACCGGGTAAAATTATTGGTCTTTGTCATATTCATCCAGTGAAATAATATGACTTGATAAACGCTTACCCAGATAAGCATTGAAACTGTTTTATTTGGTTTTAATATCATGATTAAATTTGTAATCCGAGTCAAATTATGGAGAAGCAAAAAAAAAAAAGTCAAAGACGTTGGTTGTGGGTGGTTAGACGGAAAACCAATAACGGCCCAATAGTTGGGTTCGACTCCATTTTATGTTGGTTGACTTTGACCACTCGAATACATGAAATGAAACACACACTTTACGACCTCTTGAATTAAACATTAAATTTCTTATGGCTTGTTTACCTAAATGCTTACCCAGTAAATGCTTACCTATAAGAGTCAACACTATAATTTATTTTGATGAGTAAGATTTTAGTACATCAAAACGTATTGAATGCAACTATTTACCGGGTAAGCACTTACCTGTGTAAGAGACTTAACATTTACTTATTGGGTAAGACTCTATATCCTTCTCATTGTTCTTACTCGGTAAGATTCTTGGCCCTTGTCATATTCATCTGATAAGAAAATTTATTTGGTAAGCACTTACCAAGTAAGCGTTTAGTAAACAGCTCCTTATATCATTTTAAGTATCTCTTTAAAAATAATTCAAACTTACCATGAGAAGATTCTTTTGTTAGAATGATAGAAGAAGATGTATAACGTTTTCGTTTTTCAGTATTTACGTCAAAACAACATGTTTTTTTTTTATTACTGAGAAATTAAAAATACTGGTTTGCATCAATCAAGTCTAAGTACGATTTCTCTTGTGCACTGATCAGTGAATTAAATGACATGCTACATTGCTTGCTTGAATAGTTATCGGTTTGTGAGCATGCTTGTTAAGCAAATGGATTCCTTCGATGGTTGGCATTCATAACCTCTCGTATCCATCTTACGTGGATTGTGTCAAGTCTATTTCGTATTACTTCAGTTAAATTATTTATAGTTTACAATAAGTAAAACTGCTAATAAAGTTGGTAAATTTTTCTCCCATATACAGATACCATCATTGTTTCCACTTTAGGAAAAAAAAAATTGACCCGTGTGACGTGAAGCTTCAACTCCTGTTTCCTTATAGGAGTTTGGACAATATCAATCTCGATGTATAGTTTTTAAAACATATAAGAGCATCTCCATCACCGTAAGGCTTTCCTCGTTTGAATCTCGCCCTTAACTTTAAGGCTTGCAAAGTCGTAAGGCCATGTATGGGTTGGGATTTGTCGGGACCAATGCTACGAGCTTCCAGAACATAAGGAGCGATCGCATTTTTTTATCGCATCGACGGTGCCAAAATACTTTAATTTATTATGGTATGCTATATTTTCTCTAAAATAGAGTATTAAAAAGTCAAAATCTCTAAAAAAATTACATTCAACTCCAACAGCTACTCTATTTTAGCAACATTAACTATATTATAAAAATTATTCAATACATTTAATAAAATATTATTATAAATACCTCCGGTATTTTTGTAAATGTAAAAGAGGGACGAGTGCCAAGGAGCTTGAGCGACTCGCCCTAATCAATAAGCGGGAGCTGGTATTGAGTGTTGTGAGGTTTTTATTTGCACGTTAAGGACAATTTTGTTGGTGGGAAATTATTAGAACAGTTGAAGCAAAATAATTGTTAAATTCTTTTTTTATCTGATTTAGCATAGCTATTAGAGATGCTCTAAATTGATATATAAGAAAACTCACACATTATTATGTATTTATATCTAATTTTACGTTGAAAAAATTGTTATATATTTTGAATTGTTTTACATAGTTTGTGATTTTATATAAGTTTTCTTTTCTTTTTTTAAATTATAAAAAACTTTTTAAACCCGTTAGCCCATAAACAAACTTGGCCCATACATCAAGTTTTGAAACTAGTAAAAAACTGGTTTGGATTTACTGTAATAGGCTCGTTGAACAAAAAAATAGGTTACATTCGACCCAATCATTAAACGAAAAAGAAACTATGTGATGAATTATCAACTATAAGAACCAAGAAATATGTCAAAACGTTTGTATTATTTATGTAGTATTTTCTTTATAATTTACTTATGTTTTGCAAAATAGATGAGCCCATCATCATAATTTTCACATTTTTTTAATTAAAATTCAACTACAATAATCATATTAGTTGCATTATTTTGTCTGATATGAATCAAATTCATTGACATAAATAATTGGAGTTGGTTTCTAATGAGAAATAGTAGGTAGGATAAGAAGGGATCCCTACTATTGGATCAACTCTAATTGAGAATCAGATCAACATGAAGGCAATACACCGAGATGCATCGAATCCATTCCCGTGATAACTGCAATTCATTGGATGGGTATGAGATTAAAAGTGATCAAGAATCCAGATCCTTTCTTAACATTTCTCATCTTTAACTCTTATTCTCATAACATCCTTTATGAAATAATTAATAACCTATTTTTTATAAATAAACCCTTGAAGTCATTTAATTTATAGTTAAAATTGAACATTATTTTTGCAACTGATATACTCTACAAAAGGGTTGTTTACTTGGCTTAATTAGGCTTGTTGGTCTATTTGGCTTATTCACACAGCTCATTTGGGTTGTTTACTTACGGCTTATTCGCAAAGATAAAAATGATGTGTTGTCCTCATTCAGCCACAAAAATGACACCCCTACCCCTTATTTAAAGCACCTACTCCTTCCCAAATGAGACACCCCATCGTCAGCCTCTTTATGATTTTTTGTTTTGATGTTTAAATAATTAATATTGGAGTGTAAATCGGTTATTTGTGTTATTCAGACTGTTGATTTAGATAAAAAATAAATAAATAAACATCACCCATTTATCCAAACAAACAAATTTATCCGGACAGACAAATTTATCCATACAGGACTTGATAAAAGATTTGGTAAACAGCCCCAAAGTAATAGATGAATCTTTTTACTTGTATGTAATTGAAGAAAATATTGCGGCCTCGGACCACCCTATACTCGAGTTTTCACCACTCTAATGTTAGTCGTATATCCAGTCGAATTCAAGCTGTGGTATTTGCAAAACAAATCTATATCGAACACTAAACATACCAGATGAAGCTCAGCGACAGCTTTGGTGGTGCAAGTAGCAAAACAAAGCTTCAAGGGAACATTCCTTGGAGAAACTCATCAAAGTTGTCCTCTTCATCGGCTTTACCATCGCCCATGGAGGTTGATGACGACTTTCTTCCTACAAAAGAAAGATGCAATGGTAAGAGTAAGCTCGTGGCACTCGACACCATAGAGGATTAAACATCAATATGAAAGTGGTTCGGTATGATCTCTGGAAACCCCTCCGAAAAATCAACTGTAAATAGGGCAGGGCAACACCCATCCGTCCGACAAGATCTCAGATCAATTGAATAAACCAAACGAGCACAGTATATCCAACCAGGAGGTGGGTTTGAGGGTGAGATGTATGTAGACTTGTCCTATGCCCTGAGTGGAGCGGTTGTTTCTATGAAGGCTTATACTTTTTAATTAACTAAATGATAATTGTACCCTTGATAACAGAGGAGTAATGAATTTCTCCATCTCATGATCAAGGCTAGAATTGGAAAGCCGACACTTAATTTTGAAAGTGGACATTTATTTTGGGACAAACTAAAATAAAAATGCGACGCCTACTTTGGGAATGGAGGGAGTACAATCATCGTTAACTCCTAGGCCAGTCATAAAGTATAAACACTACTGAAACACAGCAAATGCTGTACAAACTACCGGTGTCAATGGATCTCTCACATACTCCCTATTTATTATGTTTCCCTATTTGTCTCACTACCATACCAGCTGCTGCCCAAAGGTGCTTTATGAAAGCCGGTCCACAAGAGAAGATAATGCGATTAGCACACGATATTGACATTGCCATCCAATACACATCATTTCACAAGGTAATACCAACAAATCAATTTTAAAAAAAATATTGTTAAGAGAATAGAAAATATATCCCTCTATCAAGTCCCAGACCATTTGGCTTCAGTTTGCAGACGAGTCTAAGAAAGCAAATAAAATGCTAGAGATTGCTGATCTACGGTTAAATGTGAAAAGATTTTGCACAATAATCAATAGAATGCTAACCTTTGGCTCTTTCATAAGCCTTGCTTGTATCCTCATCAGTTTCCTCCCTTTCTCTGAAAATTTCACAACAAACTACTGTTGAATTCAAGATTTGCTTTCTGTCAAAAGTATTGTCAAAACTCATGGTAAAATAGCTACTAAAAGATAAACGCAAAAGGTAAAGCAACATCAAAAACCATGACATGCCTTTTCTTCCGATGCTCTTCTTTTTCTCTTCTTTTTGATTCTTCCTTCTCCTTTTCCTTCAATTTTCTGTAACGAAGTTTCTTTGCACATCTGCAGGGCAAATAAGGAAAACAAGATTGCTAAAGTTCTCAGACAAAATAACTAAAACATTAACTTTGTAGGTCTTTAGACATGTTCACAACAGCATCCTTTGCATATGATGTAGAAAAGCAACCAAAAGGACAAGTAGAGAGAGATGAGCATAAGTCGGCATTCAAACCTCTCACAAGTTACTAATTTCACTAGAGCTTGTTTGTTTTCTCCAGCTTCAAAATAAGCAAAATTCACCTGCAATGAGAAACCAATAATATTATTGCCAAAAAGTACCATAAAATAAATAGAGCACTCCTAGCTACTACCTTGCAGACAGAAATTAAACCAAACAGACTCGTTGAATCCCACGAGAAGTAGGGTCTGGAGAGGGTAAGATGAACGTAGTCTTTCATCTACCCCAAGGGGTAAAGAGGACCACAATTTAGCAAAAGGACAATGGAGTTTGAACAAATGTACATATCAACTTTTCAGTCGAACCAACTTCTTTTTCTTTAATAGTGTATACTTGACACTATGGAGCCACGCCAGATCAGCGAAACTTTTGGTCGACAAATCAACTGATACATAGTTAGGTCAGTCAATGTTACTGGTAAGTTAAATTGTAGAAAGGCTTGATTAACAACTGGAAGCTATGCACCACAAATAGTATGAAAGCAAGTACCCCAAGGTTCAGGTTGGGTAAAAAACAAATTATATGGATTCAAGTAAAAACTATAAGGATGCAACACGCATGCATGGCAACAAGGTTATCATAGATTAAAGAGTGAATTACATTTTCCATCCCCATGGTTTGGAGTTTTTGAAGAATCCTGTCCCTATTTTGAAAATAAGCGAGTTGGGTCCCTGTGGTTGCATTCTTTTAACGAGCTCCCTGATGCAACCACAAGGACCCAGCTCGTTAAAAAAACGCAACATGGACCCAGCTCGTTAAAAAACTGCAACCACAGGGGCATGTTTCATTAATTTTTCAAAAATGAGACGGCGATCCATTAAAGACACCACACCTCAGGGACGGAAAATGTAATTCACACTAGGTTAAGTGATACATTTGACACCAGCCTTTATGATAGCATCGTATCGCAGAAAGAGAAGCATGCTTTTCTAAATGACAAGATCGAACAAAGCTAAGAGCACAACATGAGAGTATGTTATCTAGGTTTCTATGCAAATTGCATTCTTTCAGGCTTCCACTGTTTGACATGATACAAACTGCCATCAAATACCATCTTTCGGCTAACCTAGGCTCTTCCGTCCCTCGGAACCAACAAGGGGTAGGGCATGGGGACGTAAAAAAGGGGGATCCTTTTTCCCATCGAGGCCGAACCTAAACCTGTGGTCAAGAGATAGCTGTGCATACACTTAAGGGATGTATGGATTCTTGAGAAGAGAGGAGCCATGGTGGTCCCCCCCCCCCCCCATCCCGACTGCCCGGATCCCACGAGAAGTTTGGTGTCAAAGCCCGGTTCGACAGTAACCACAGGAACAGATACTTCAATCATACCAATGCAAAATCAACTTAAATCAGACTCGAAGAATGCATAAAAAAGTACTAACCATATGTATCACTAAAATGAAGACAAGTTCTCATACAAGCTATAGTTTATCTGCTGTAATACATGGGCTAAAATGTGCAAAGTGGTGCATGTTCTACTCACTTGTGGAACCAGAACAAGCATGTGTAAAATAAGGAGATGAACGCAATACACGATTGGTTGGTTCTCAATCATATGATAGAAGCACACTTTCCAATGAAACACTTACCTCATAGCTAGCTAAGCCTTCTTCTTCACTGCAATGTTTGTTACCACATACAAACTGCCCTGACAATTAAGAGTAAAAAATTAAAAGCTCGTTCTGTACTTCCAGTGTGATCATCAGCAGTTGACATTCTTGGAAACGCTTTAAACAATAAATAACATAATTTTACAAGCAATTAAGCATAGCCAACTTCTATTTCCAAGATGGTCCAAGTCTATCTCAAGGTAAGAAGAGATTACAGTAATTTCTCTAACCACAATATGCAAACAAATAAAGGTAGATCAGTGACTAGCCATCCCACAACGATATTGACCTCGGGTGTAGCGTCTCTACAAGGCTTAACATTCTGCCGAATACATTATAGCAAGGCTCACCATCATCCGCTAGAAAGATATCCTTTGATGTAATGAATAAACAAGAATGCCGCCACTTCATCAACCTTACTCTTATCAAACATATCCTAATAATCATCTCACTCCTTTTGAGATATGGAGCCCAAATAACAAAAAAAAATCTTTGATATGTCCCACAGCATTACCTATCTTGTGTATTCTGTTGTGCAAAGAAAGATTGGTATGCTCACAACTTTTTTGAACTAAAGGACACCTATTACATAATGTATGACTTGAGCATGATTGGCTCTTCAAAACCATTGTGGCAATTCATTTCTATAAACCCAATGCACTTGCCAAAACAAAAAACAAAAACATGATTCTCTGTTTTGTTTTTGGCATTTGTTCAAAAGGAAATGTTAGTACGATGGTTTGAGATTTTAATGGCCCTTCGAGATGTTGGGCAACTAAACAAACATGGTACGAGGAAATGAATATACAATTCAGATTATTCTAGAGAGAAGGTACCAATGTCCCTAGTAAGTCATAAACGGAGAAAAAGTTCATTGAAGATGCTACAGCCAAATTAGGAACAAGAATACCAATATCATAGATGAATATAAGATCACATAGTGGATAAAAGGTGAGACTATATCGGTCTTATGGTACCAATATTCTAATACTAGGACAGCACATCAAGCACGAACAAAGGAAGAAAATGAAGGGATGGGTTCTTGCTTCAACACATCCGCTACTTACCAAACTGTAGCCCATGATGAAAAAAATGAAGACATTAAAATAAAATTCACCTGTGTTGAAGTATTTACAGTATTCCCTTAGATAGAAAGCGTTCTCATTTCCATTTTGGCTTGTTCTAACTTATGCATTCTTTTAAACCATACCTTTTATGTGAACTTATACTAATATAGCCTCCACTTATTATTACAGCTACAAGATCTTGTGTCCTTACAGACCAATTTATTACAATGTTCTTCACTTTCATATATTTCGTCTTCCTTGACTTATCCAATTAGCATTTTAGTGATCTCACATTCATCGAGTCACATTTCCCCTCCTCTTTCATCATAGATTCTAGTAGCATGCACTTGTGTAACATTTTTGTTTCAACTTGGTATGACAACAGTCTTCTTGCATATTACACATTAAGGGTACAAATGAAAGACAATGCTAGTTGTCAGCTCACAACCGACCACCTGTTCATCATCACCATAGCGGCTACAAAACATGCTTGGATATGATCAGGCTGTTAAAGCATCGAATTTTAGAATCAAATAGACAGAAATTTCGCCTTTTCTATGTTTATTAACTTGGGTCAACCACTCCATCTCAAGTACCATACATTCAGGTCAGGGTTCTCCGCCAACAATTAAGAACATTCTACAACCACACTTTTGGTCTCAAGTTTACAAGGTGAACGAAACTATATGACAAAATATAATGTGAACTGTTTGTATTTGACGATGTCAAAAAGATCGAATTATCAAAAAACTAAATAAAGTCAGATTTTGCATTATATGATCACTGTTTATGCCGATGCCGTTTTGCATAACGGTGTATGACGGTGAATAATACTACTAAAAGTGAGACTGCGGCATCCTTTGGAGCGGACTGGAGTTCTAGTATATAGAGCACAACGTAGACAATACACTGTTGGGTAATAATACCAGTTTGAACAGGATTATCATGTATTTTTGTTAAATGAAAAAATTAATAAATTAATTTGGTGACGATACACCACGTAAGACTGATTATACATTCCCAATAAATGCACCAACTCCATGCGGCTCTCTATACTCCAAATCACCTTTGATTTGTTCTACATATAAAAGGCACACCTCTCCTTTCTTCTCTTCTTTTATAGACAGAGTGAGAGAGGTTGCAGTAAAATCTGAAAAATAGAGAAAGACCAGCAAGCTAAGGAAGGTGTATTGGGTTGTCAAGATTAGAACACATCAGCTTCATTTGTGCAAAGCAATAAGGTATGCCAATCACCTTAAGAAATTAAGTTGTTCTATAACTTCAGTAGGTAATCACCAATAAAAAGGATATAATTGAGGTTTGTATTCATGAATGATTGAAGAATTAACTCAAGAACCATAACCAGTTCTATAACTGGTTTAAAATGTTTTGATATAGAAAGGGGTACAAACCTTGTATGTCTGGATTTGTAAGAATGTAATAAGGTTATAAATGTTTCAATCAGAATGTATTATATGCAAAATTTAGTGGTTGAAATGGAGGGAGGTGTTTACAAATAATGTACGAAGATATAACCATCAAAACAACATTTTATTACCAAAGGGCCTTTGGCCTAGAGGTATGTGAGTCTTTGGCCTCCTAGGAGGTTAGGGGTTCAAACCTCACCAAAGGTGAGGAGGGTGTGTGAGTTTATTTGTTCTATTTGCCGTATATAAATATTATATACTTCAAAAAAAAGACATTTTATTTGTGTCTTTATATATTTTCAGAGGCAGAACATCTGTATGTTCAGTTTGTTAAGAAAATGAGCTTGACACCTTGGTTCGGTATCCAGATGGGATTTGATGCATTCTAAACATGCTCAAAATAGTGTAACAAACATGTTTTACAGTTTGGATTGCAAAAAATAAATGGTTTTTTAAAAATGGGATATTTGACAATAAGTTGTTTACAAGGAAGTTTACTGTGAAAGCTGGCTCTGTAGAACTGATGGAGGATATGCAACTTGGATGGTTTGAACATGATTTTGGGAAGTTAGCAAAGGTGTATAAGTAGGTACTGAAATAAAATGAAAAATGGAAGCTTTGGGGTGAAACAAAATCAAGCAGAAGCAGAAAGAAGGATAGTATGAAACCGTATCACATATGCCATACTACCAAAAACCTAATGGCATATCATCCGGACACCCCTGCCGCAGCCCAAAACCGTAACCCTGTGGTTTTTTGCCAAATCCATACACAGATCATAATGGTCCAACAATGAATCCCGTATTAACAATAGAATTGTGGCACTAATCATCAGCAAAACAAAGCATAGAAACCAACCTTGATCATAAGTTTGATTTCATATTAACCTTCAGTTATCAAGATAAGTAATGTACTAACATATTAAAAATAACAAGCAAGTAAATAGTCAATGTGTCAAAAGTACCTTTGCCAGATACAACTTCTTTTTCAGTCCTCCACCTCAGTCCAATCTGAGAAAATGCAAAATCATTAAGAAAAGCCAAATCCCCACCCATAAGGTATGTCACAACATTCAAGGCATTCTGTTTATTGATGAATTAGCAGGTGAAACTTCAACGTGAACATCAAAGTGGAACAACACAAGAAAGTCTTGAATGCAATGAGCTGCTCAAGGGGCATACCTTGCCTGTCTTATAATGGGACATGTCAGCAATGCAATATCTTTAAACAAGTTAAAGGAGGTGCCAAACAATCAAAATAGTTTCAACCTTATAACCTAGAAGTAGTAAACTAATATCAGTCTGAACAGCATAAGACTGCTTGACAAAAGGGAAGCAATCAAAGGGCAAATCTTAAAATATATACGTAACCTAATAACCAATCAAAAGTAAAAACAGCACAGAAGATATTTCTACTATACCACAACATAATCTAATCGACTGGTGTAATATTTATTGAAACTAAAACCCATATACTATCAAAAACATTAGATCAATCCAAATGAAGGCACAGAAATAAAACAAATGACACTGCTCTTTATTTACTCACTTGATATTACCTATTTCATGCACAATAACAAGCCTTGTATCCTAAGCTAGCAAAAGTAAACCAAAGGTGACGCCAACCAAAAACATTGGACTCTACTACCTCTCATCATGTTAATATTAACCTATCCGGACTTCTTTCCATGCTCTCATCTTGGTCGCCTTCTCACCCATCCAAAGGTCTAGATGTCAAACCAAGTAAAGTATACACTTAGCATCCCCTCGAGTAGTGCCACCAAAAGCCTTCTCCTGAACATCCACATTCTGGTCATTTCCATCATTATGTCACATCAACCAAATCATCCGTATTTTGCTATGGTCATCCTAAAGCCCAACTCTCTAACCCATAATTATAGCAGGTGTAAACACCGTTCTGTTACTGCAGTAAAACCTACCCACAACTTTACTGGAATTTCAAAGTCAAGTGCTCTTGATGAAAGTTGCCACATCTACCTTGCTCTATTCCTGATTGAAACCTTCATCAAGCTACCTGTCAAACATTGACCCAAAATAACAAAAGATGAGGTCTTATGTACCACCTATATAAACATGCTACAATGTCTTCAATGCTTTTCAACTCCACTAAAGCAGCACAACTTTTCAGCTTATCTACTTAATATTATAAAACTTTCAAGCTGCAGCTAGATGTATCACTATAAAGTTGAAATACTAGTAGTATATAAGTGCAAACCCGAACATGAAACCGACTTCCAAAGGATACTCTTTGAAAAGCTTATCATAGTAACGCTTCACCAGCCTTTGTTCCCATGACGAGTCCATATCATCTTCCTCTGAACGTATAAACCTTTGAACGAACAGAATAACATATGAGTCATATAATACGAATAAAAAGCCTTTCAATTGGTTGCATAGATCAAATGCCTGATCAGATGCATTAAAATCGAATAGATAAACCATAGCGAAGCACAAAAATAAGTGAGGGCTACGGAGAGTTTTTATAGGTCAAGCACAATCAAAGGAAAGCAAACAGTGCTCAAACTCGACAATGAACCAACTTTCTTGCACGTCAACCACATGACCGGTCAATATCCAGATGTATATGTGTATGTATGCATAAAAAACATACACAGATGCATACATCACAATCAGATATGTCGAGAGTCGAGCACATTATAGACTCAAATAAAATTTATTTTGAAAAAATAAGTACTTGCTATAAATTTTAGCAACTACACACATCCACAAAGCAGATTGAATGAATATACCTAGCAGTTGTACATGACATTTTTAGGAATGAGCTCTTGTAGCTTATTAGCAACACATAAGTAAGTTTGTCCTGTGGTTTCTTATGGCTTATTAGCTCCACCAAACATCACTAATAAGGGACTCTTCAAAGTGTAAACAAATAAATGACTGCTACTCCAAGGAGACGATCCCAATTAACAACCCACAAGTACAGAAACACAAAAGCATCCAACAAGTATGATAACCACTACGCCACACACCAAATCACCATCATACACTGCTGGTGTCACTCATCTACACGACTACACCACCCAATAACAACCCACCTCTAGTACCAGCACCACATCACCTCTAGCACATGATTCCTACGTTCATAATTTTGAAGTGGTAAGAGGAATGGAGGCATGGCTGGAAATTTTGGATTCATAATTTTAAACTGGTACAAGTTAAGAAGATACAGAGTGAAATTCTGCATTTGCATTCTAATAATGTTCCCAAATCATCAGTTGAACACTTTCAGGAAACAGAATCACCAAGCAGATAGTGGTCAAACAAAAACATGATTCAATCCCATCTTGCTTAACCTGTAGCCCATTACCACGCATGTCAAATGCTCAAAACCAACATTCTGTACTGGAAAAGGAGCAGGTAACCAAGAATAACAAGACCATGATAAGAGGGAAAAAGGATGCATGTATGTAAGAGAGAGACAGATGAACTTACCGATAGCCTTCCCTAAGAGTGTCTTGATCAGTTTTTATTGGTAATTTTTCTTGTTTTTGCCTCTCTCCCCCATAAAAGTTAACTGCAAAGCAACAAGACGTCACCACAAGAGTTTCCATATGGCGATGGCAATATGTTGTTAATGCAATATTATTAAGTGATATATCCAGACAGATACATCAGTCTTGAAAAGAAGAAAGGTTCAACGCCTAAAGGGCTGATTACATACAAGGCCGCAGAACAGTAAAAAGTGATAAAATGGTTCATAAACCGAAGTGGCTTCCCATATAAATTGCATATTGATATTACAGGATTACTAATTGGGGACTTGAAAGTAGAATATTCAATTTACTGAAGGACTGGGAAGAAAGAAAAGACCAATATACCAACATAAGGAACCACTTGTTAAAAGTAATTAAACTCTGCTGCTAAACTTAATTCAATTTGCCGCACCAAAGAAGTGCATTGATGTTAACATCATATGTGAAATCAAGATAGAAGGGAGAAGAATATATTGATCAAGATAGGCAACACATTTTTATAAAAGCCATGTAAACCAAGTTCTGGATCTCAACACTAACAAATAATTTAGTATGATTCTGAAAAACAGATACAAGCCTCTCAAAGAACATGATCATTAGTTGGATCTTTAATGTCGCGTCACCTGAGACCTCACTAGGAAAGAGCTAATGACATGATCATTACTTGGATCTTAAATGTCGCATCACCTGATATCAGTTATAGCATTTGCTTTCTACACATGCCCACAAGCATGTGCAACGAGATTCCAGAAAGATTCTCTGCAATTGATGGTCATCGGGCCTTTCAAATTGGCATGTGTAAGGTACTTCAAGGGTTTATGAGATGAACTTGATGCCCTAGAAGTACCTTACACATGCCAATCTGCATGTTCCAGTGAAGCAGGAAAGACCAATAAAAATAAGGAACAATGTAAGCCCGTTACCACCTAACATGAGGTTGACTTGCAAGCTCATTATATCTCTTTGGGTGTGTTTGTTACTGAATACTGATGGGACAGGACTGGACAGGACCGGCAAAAGTGAGCTATGCAGATGAAAGAATTATGGAAGGTTTTAGGTTTTAATTTGACATGGGTAATTTAGTAATGTACTAATCTTGTCCTATCTCCTTGAATTCTGTTCCACCTATTTTGGTCGGATATTGTATTTTTGTCCAAATCAGGTCTTGTCCTATCCTACGACAATGCCGCACAAATGTGGGACAATAAGTTTTTGTAATGTCCTGTCCCGACTCCCATGAACTAAACGCAACCTTTATTGCCTCAAGCAAGCATCTAGGCAATAGTTCCCGAAGCTCACAGATGCTTTAAAAAAGTGGGCTTATGGCAAAGATTAGACAAAGCTTAGCAAACTACTTCCATATTCACCTTAACTCAGAAAAGATTCGATAGCAATCTTAGTGTACATGGATGACATTTTGATTATTGGGACAAATATATAGGCCTCATCAACTGGTATAAACAGATTTTTGAAAGAAAAAGAATAGCATAAAAGACATGGGAGTAATCGAATATTATGTGGGACTTGAAGTGTTCACAAATGAAAATGGTTTTTCATCTCAATCAAAGAATATATGTGCTAGATATGTTGAAAGAGGTGTTGGATGTTAAATCCTTGGTATCACCTATCGATATCATTGTCAATCTCACACCTAATGGTGGTGGAGTCTATGATGACTCATCCTTTTATCATACGATGGTTGAGAAGTCGCTCTACATTACAAGACATAACATCACCTTTTCTACTCATTTGCTTGTCGGTTCATAAAAGTGCCTCATGTTCTTCATGCTCAAAACCTATTTAGAGTTTTAAGATACCTCAAGGATGCACCATGTCAAAGTATCTTTCTATGAGCAAAATCTTCCTTGTGCTTCAAAAGCAACCAGTTGTTTCTCGTTCATCAGAGGTTACATACCATGCCATAGGTGATGCTACCTGTTAATTAAGTTGGTTAACAGTCTTACTACATGACTTTAATGTTCCTGCTACCTTCCCTATTTCTCTACATTTAGATAGCTCTTCAGCATTTTTAATATTAGCCAACCGCATGTTACATGCAAGGACCAAGCGTGTCCACTTGGACTGCCATATTGTTAGGTTCAACCCTTTTACATTCCAACATCCATACAGTTGCCTGATATATTAACAAAGGATTAGGGAAAAGTCATCATCAGCCTATTATCCAAGTTGGGAGTGTATAACCCATACATGGCATCAACTTGTGAGGGAATGTTAAGTTGCAGCAAAGCACTCACGGCAACCAAGAGATTAAACTAAAGTCAAGCAACATAAAATATGTACAAGCTCCATGCAAAGAAACCGAGGAATCATTTAAGCAATATTCATCTATTACATGTTTTCTTGTTCCACCTTCATTTCTCATCCTCTGGTTTCATTTTCCTCTTTATAAAATAAAGTCGGTATATATACAAGACTATTAGATAGAAGTCCAGAACAATGTAAGTCTTCTATATATGAGAAAGTGCATGGTTTTTTATTCAATCCAATTCATTCAACCAAGTTATCAACTCAATAAAAGATAGCAGCAAAAATGGAAGACAACATGATGAAGGAAACATAATACCAAATATAAAATGTATACTCCATTCAAGTTGAATTGGTTGTCAATTAAGCATCCTAAAACCCGTTAAAGAAAGAACCACCTATAGTATTTAACAGGCAGGCAAATGCATCACATAATTTTATTCTTTTAATCCCATATTCGGGCATGTTGAAGTGGATTCACCTGATAACTAACTTTTGCATCTTTGCATATTGCTATGTTTGAATACGAAAAAGAACACACAAGTTATCATTGTACATTTGTACTTCATGCTAAAGGGGGATTTTGCATCAACATCTAGAAGATATTTATCACTATTATCCTACATAATCACCACTGATTACTATGCTCTTTAGGTAATTAGCATAGAGATTGGCATTTATGAACGGCCATGCACCAGTCTTGATTGCTTAGATTATGCTGAAATGAATGTACGAATGACAGTAGCCCCCTACCTTCACTTATGCGGAGGGAATTGTTCATCGTCCATTTATTTTAGGACACCATAATTTCACAAATAAATTGCTCACTATTTGTGTACTTCTTTGGTGTCCAAAGCCATCTTTAGCCAACATGAGGGAAAGGCTTAGATTTGCATATATTAAGGCAGTAAATTTTCAAAAAGCAAGTATGATGCACCAATGACAAGATAGCATGTGCATTAACAAAAGCCATCAAATTTTGAGAGCTGATGGTGCTTACCACCAATCTTATCCAGTAAGCTAAGTGAGGATGGTGACTCTTACCTGGTAAGAGTTTACCCGATAAGTATTCGTAAACGGCTCCTTAATATACGGTTTTAAATATGCATATGGCCATCAAGCATATAAAAGTTTTCAACTAATTTGCAAGTGATAGATCAAAGGAACTCATAGCCTATCTATTATGGTCGATCACCAGACATCAAATTTTGATGGTTTATCACTCTACATGATACAAACTGACGCATGAGGCAAGGTTTTATCCCTACCCTTCCATTGTCAGATTTAACCACTCCCAAGAAACTCCCCGAATGCCCCATTCTCTAGCCTAATCCATTGTTATTGCTGCCCACATAATAACATTCATAGCTCGAGTTGGGTCGACTCAACGTAGACTCAAACCACCAAAGTTACGGTTCTATATACAGTAAAGCACAACGGGAATTTTCAGAAACTAACCATAATCTTTCACAAACTTTTTGTGCCGATCGTAAGCATTGAGACCTAAAATGTGAGCTTGATACTGCCTGCAAACACGAGATTCATTAAGCTTAAACTATGGAATTAAGATTGAGAAGAAAACACTTCATCATTTTTCACATCAAAGCATGAGATTCATACTGTTTCTTTTCTTCCTTATCAAATACCGCAGACCTAATTGACCCAAAAGAAGCCATTTTCAAGATTTTCGCAGCGAACCCTAACGATTAATAGGCCAGTAACTTACATAAATGGTCCATGTATTTCTCCAAACTTGCATTTGCGCGCCTACATTTACTTCTTTTGTAAAAATTGTTACAACATCTAAAAATAATTCAATTTTGGTCCAAAAACCTTTTATTACTTCCTCCAAACAATAAAAATGTAAAATTTGATTTGACAAACAATTTTAATAACGACTAATAATTAAAAGGCAATTTTAGTTTTTGTGCTCATGTGCGGCACTCAAAAATATATAAGAAATTTGATAGACTTCATATGAGACTGAGTTTCACATTTTATCTAGAAGATATTTGTGTAATATAGTGAGATACATTTTGATTTTAATATTTTATTTTATTTTTTGTTTCTATTGATGTTATAATACGATTTTATGTGTTTTAAGAAAGCGATCACTTTTTTATTCTTGAACAAAATATAAATTTGAAAAAATATACATCGATATTAGTATCAAACTAACAATTTAAAGTTCTCATTTTTTGTGTAATTTCTTTAATTCAATTTTTTTATAATTTAATTTAAGGTTAATAATAAAGTAATTTGTTTTTGGTTTAATAATATAATTTTTCATAAAGATAAAATTAAGTATTTTGTTAGAACTCAATGATTATCATAATTATATTTTAGATTTTTATATTTAAAATGAGATGTTTATCATGTATTTAATTATGTTTATCTACAATTAGTTACACGAATTTAAAAATGAAGCTTTAATAAGTTGTATTTACTCACAATCTACTTGTAATCTTGAATTTTAAGTAATATACATTAATAAACAGTATTTCATACATAAAAAATGGTTTTAAGAGTTTTTATCAAATGTTTATATAATATAGTATAGATGATATATTGTTATTAAGTTGCATCGTGGATCTTTTTTACATGTATTGCCATATCAATTTTATAAAAATAATCATTTCTATTTCAGTTATTAATCATCATAAAATTCTATCAGGTAATTTATTCTAGTCGTGGTATTAAATTCAATTTGATTTATATCGATAATGAGTTAGGAAAAGAAAAGTTTTAAAGAACATGTTTGTTCAAATTTGCTCATAAGTTGTGATAATGTTGGTGCCATGTCAACATGAGAACCTTTTATTGCATGTGAGTATAAATATAGTGGTTGATAACTCATTGATGCAAGTTTTTTATGTTGTATTCAAAGTAATATCAATGGTTATTAGCATATGTTTAGTTGGTTTATTAGTTGTCAATAAATCATGAAACATGTCTTGTATGGATTAGTTCATTTGGTTTGGAGAATTTATAAGTGCCTATATTGTTCGCACTTTTAGATAAGTACAAGACTTTCACATAAACAATCACTCAATTCGTTGAGAAGAAGGTAGGTCTGCAGATATCTTATCCAAACTCTATTTTGAATGGATATTTGTTTGTGGCTTAATGGGTTGTATAAACCTTATAGCTTATTCGCTCAACTATAAAAAGTTGTCCGGTTGTGGCTTATTTGCTTAGCCGAGGGATTAATTAAGCAGCTAGAAACCATGTGTCTTTTACACTCAGCCATTTAATTTGCCCATCTACCCTTACCCTACCATTTTCACCTCTTCTTTTTTAGTCCAACTGCTCCGGAAGAGGGAGAGACAACAGCAGCTCAGCTCAGCTCCACTGGTTCCAACTCCACTCCACTCGATTTCTCCATAGCCATCTTCATCTCCTATCGCTAATGTTCCACTTGTTCCATCCCTTGTCGCTCAGTTTAGCTCTTTTCTTTCTCTTCTCTTTCTCTTCCCTTTTTATCCACACTCCCTCAAACCCTACTCGCATCCTTCCTTATCTTGGTGATGGCGTCTTCCACGCCGCCAACCTTAACCACCTCCAAACCATATCAGAACCACTAATGTCGTACCCACAATGGTCATAGTCCCCCACCACCCATCTCCTAAGGTCTCTCTTCATCCTCCCACACCAAGAAACCCCACTACAAATAAACCCCCCGTTCCCACCACCGCCGCACCCGCTGCCTCCTCTTCTCTCCACCATCGAAACCCTAATTTTGCCCCTTTCTACCTCAAAATCAGAACTTGTTGCCGATTTCTCAGGTCGGAGGTCAACCCGATTTGTGTTCCCTCAAAATCAGAACTTGCTGCCGATTTTTCTCCACTATTGGAATCCTAATCTTTTTGTTCCTTCTGTGCTTCCTCATCCTCTTTCTTTTATTATCGTCTATGTTCATAAGAAAAATAAATATGATTGGGAATTTGGATAATGAACAAGAAATTAATGTTTTTTGTTAATGAAAAAGCTAAAAAAAATAAAAGGAGTAAAAAGGTCATATATATCATTCAGAGTGTTTATTCAGCATTACAATCGAACAATAACTTATTTGTTCTCATACATACAACTTTATCAATACAGACAACTTTATCCATACAGGTCTTAATAGAAAACGAACCGAACAGCCCTAAGTCTTTTATGTTGTATTCAAAGCAATATCAATGGTTTAGCATGTGTTTAGTTGATTTATTGGTTGTCAATAAATCATGAAACATATCTTGATGGACTGGTTCATTTGGTTTGGAGAATTTATAAATGTCTTTATTGTTCACACTTTTAGATAAATACAAGACTTTCACATAAACAACCACTATACCCGTTAAGAAGAAGGTAGGTCTGTAAATATCTGAATCCAAACTCTACTTTTGAGTGGATATACATGGTTTAGCGAATGTTGAGATGTCGCTTGTTTATGCCATTTCTTATTTGGTTTGGGTTCATCCTCGTTTACCCATGCATGGAAGTAGACAAGTCACACGTTCACATCTTCATCCACTTTACATCATATAAATTGGTGCCACAATACGTAAAAATGTGTCCAATTTGATTTACTATTTAACATTTCATTTTGTTGCTTAGTTATATGTTATGAAAAGGAATGGGATTTGATAGAGTGTCATGTTTACTTGATTCGAGAATATGTATGGGACCCGTAAAGTGAATAATTATGAATGGGGGAAATGGGTATCAACGAAATGTCAATCAATTTTAGAAATTATCTTTCCCTTTAGTGTCTAAACAAGATCAATATTGCTTTTGGGTTCGCATATACAATGGAATTTTATGGCTCTATTGCAAAGGATTTTCATTCCACATATGCATACATATGGTTGGCGGTCAATATTATTTCCTCATCTTACTCACAACTAGAAAAGCAGAAGGATACATAAACTTTTGCCTTACTAAAATCTTACACGAGGGAACAAAACCTAATAGAAAAAAAAACCTTAGGTGAAGGAAAGAGCACAACATACCAATATTACATATATAGTAGACTCCCTTTTTTGTCTACTACTCTCCCTGATTCGTGCATTAATCAAGAGAGTTTGGAAAGTCAATACATTCCTATACTTTCTACATGTTTCCCAAATATGGTTTTAGGTAATGATTTGGTAAGCAAATATGTCATCTTCTCCTGGTACCATACTTGATTCACTTGAATCTAGAGGGAAGTTTGTTATTGTTGATTGTATATAAACTTAAAGTAGAATATGCTTTCTGTTATCACCCTTGATGTATCTTACTTTCATTTCTTTGATACACTATGCATTATTTCCACATATACAGGTAGGGTATTGGATGAACTCAAAACACTAGCTCCTCTAATATGCATAATGGTAGTCCTTAACCATGTAATAGTCTCATACAGAGTAATATTCTTGGAATAGTTCGAAGAGGTAGCTACAAGGGTTTGCCTAGTTTACTTCCAAGCAATAGGCATGTTCCCGATGCTAATTCCTTATATAGTTTGGGAATGACCTTTATATGAGTCAGGTAGATAGTTAATATTAGCAAGGACAGACCAAGACATTATTAACTTTTTTTATAAGGATAGTACTTTGCCACTAACATTCAAAGTAGGTACTATGTTGGGGTTTAAATTGTAATCAAAGTATATGGGCTTATCTTGTAAATACCCTTGGGCTATAAATACATTTGTATTAGTTTGTTTAGCTAACTAAGCTTTCTCATGTTGTAAATGTTTTATACATGAATAGAACATTTGCTTACACAATTGTGTGCATTTAGCAATAATCATTAATGTTACGAAATACTCGTGTTCCCAAGTGGATCATGTAACACCCTCAAATCTGGAAAGAACGACTAATTTAAAATTTTCATTATTACAACAAACAAAGGGTAAATCCCCTTTTCTATCATTACCTCGAATTATCAAAGCTAAAATCAACATCAACATAAGATAGACAAAGCTTTACATAAAGACTAAGTTAAGATCGGGTGTTACTATATCACAATAATTGTCGCTATCCCCAAAAGCAGGAGACATCAACGATAAGCTAAAACCTTCTAGTGAAACTATTTAGCACTCATCTCATCACGGTGTCGCTAGTAGCACACCCCAACAAGGATCTGATGCACATGCTGACAAATAAAAAGATTAGGCTTGACGCCTAGTGAGTTCAAGCTGTTTTCATTGTAATCAAAAAACGGTAAAAGCAAAAGACTGTTGATTTAAATCATGATTTTGCAAATAAAATATATTTATGTAAAAACATCTTTCCAAAAAAACCCGACCATTTTCTTGATGAAAACCCAAAAATCAAAATACTCAATTACACAACCGAAATCCAATACTCACACGACCAAGAATGAAGTTATAAAACATTAAGACGGAAAACGTAGCTTTAATCAAATTATGTATACAATTAACCCACGCTTACCCATGGAAGGGCATAAAACATTCGAAGATGACGGGGGAGACCCAATTTACCATATGTTGTAACGAAACACATAAGTAAGCCACAAATGAGCATCACTTACAGCGACATCAACCAAATCATTGACTAGTCAAATAAAGTAATAAGCTCGTTCAGTTGAAGTTACATTATATTGATCAATTGACAATGCCCGTGTTAACACCCATATATATTAAGAACAACAAATTAAACAATAACGCAGCAAGGACTCAATCAAT